GGACCGCCAGCTCCAGCACCGCCAGCAGCTCCAACACCAGGAGCACCTCCAGGCCCAGCAGCTCCAGTACCCCCAGTAGCACCAGCAGCACCTCCAGCAGGACCAGCGCCAACAGCTCCAGCAGCACCCCGGAGGCTGCGACAGTACCGAGAGTACCACTCACGTAGCTGCTGGGAAGAGAGAGCTCCCCTAGGCGCAGCACCCCCAGGCTCAGGACCTCCAGACCCAGCACCCCCAGAGACCGCACCCCCAGGCTCAGCACCTGCAGTCTCTGCACCCCCAAGCTCAGCACCCATAGTCTCTGCATCCCCAGGCTCAGCACCCGTAGGCTCCGCACCCCCAGGCTCAGCACCCCCACGCGCAGTACCTCCAGACCCAGCACCACCAGGCTCAGCACGCTCAGTACCTCGCGCAGGACCAGAGTCGACAGCTACCTCGACCGGCTCGACCGGGTCTACCTGGGAAACACCTGAGGGAGCAGGAACCTGGGGAGGCAAGGGGTCTACCAAGGCAGCACCTGGCGTGAGGAAGAGCGGCGGAGGGGGGAGCGGGGCAGTGCGGTAGGGGAAGAGACGGTAGAAGGGGACCGACTCGTCAAAGGTGACGTCCTGGGAAGACAGAACACGGCGCGAGGTGGGGTGGTAAAATTGCCAGCCAGGCGCGTCAGGGGGGAAGCCAAGGAAGACGCAGGGAATAGCACGGGGGGACAGCTTGTCCGCAGACAAGTCACGGACAAAAGCCCGAGATCCCCAGACACGAAACGCAGACGCATCGCCAACCTTCCCCGTCCACCTCAGAGTAGGGGAGGTCTCCGGCAAGGAGACCCGGGGCTGAAGGTTGATCTGATGCGCCGCGTACTGAACCGCGAACGGCCACAGAAAATGGGGAGCAGCCGCATGGATCATGGACGTACGAGCGACGTCCATGGCCATACCAATGCGGCGCTCAGCAATCCCATTTTGCTGTGGAGAGGCCGGAAGCGTGAACGTCTGGCGGATGCCCTGTGCACGACAGAAGGCTCGCAGAAGGGCAGAGGAAAACTCACCGCCTCTGTCGGAGTGCAGACGCAGGACAGGAAAGTCCGAGCCGAAACTCTCTCTGAGCTGGAGACGAGCTGCGCGGATCCAGTCGATCAACACCGCAGTGACCTCACCCTTGCTGCGCAAGGGGAAGACTGCGGTGTAACGCGAGTAGTCGTCAACCACCAGCAGGAAGTAACGCTCGTGACCCTGGCCACGGACGCGGGCTGGGCCCCACACGTCCATGTGAAGCGTCTGCAGCGGAGCCTCTATCTGAGGAAACTCGGAGGAGTGAGGAGCGGCGCGCTGCCGCCCCTCGACGCAGGGAACGCAGGTGGGGCCAGGCCCCGGAGGAAGAGAAGGGAGGGACCGGGGGAGACCCGAGACAAGGAAACGAGAGGCCATGCCTCGGAGACGAGGCAGGGAGGGGTGACCAAGGCGGTGGTGCCAGAGGAGAGACTGGTGAGACAGGAGACGACACGAGCAGGGGGGAGACTCAGGACCAGACCTGGACGCTGCAGCAAACACCTGACTCGACGCAGCTACCTGAGGAGACTCAGTAGTCAGTGTGTACAGGCTCGACCCCGGCTGACGGGTAAACGTGGCCAAGTGTCGGCCCGTCCGAGCACACGTACAGTGGGTCACTCGCTGACGCGCAGGAGTGAACTGGTCAACCCCTGCGTCTTGTAGGTCAGCACCACTCACCAAGTTCGTAGAGAACAAGGGGAGGTAAAGACCTGACAGGGAGCCAGAAGGGGCCGCCGGGCACGGTAAGACAGTGGAGAAGTGGGCAAGGACAGGACCCCCAGAGGGGTCTGCCAGGGAGACTGCAACCGGCCGACTGAGCGGCGTGAGTGTGGTGCGGTCTCGAAAGAAGGAGCGGGAAGCACCCGAGTCAAGGGTGAAGGTGTGTAAAACCTGAGCCGACGTGGTACCTGAGAGAGCAGACTCACCAGCACCTGGAGGAGTAGACGCACTAGCACCTAGAGCAGCAGCCTCACCAGCACCTAGAGCAGCAGCCTCAATGCCCGGGTCAGGCGGAACACACAGGTAACAGTCACCCACATCACTAGTAGGCAATGCATACATGGAAGCGAGGATAGCATCATAGTCAAGAGCATAGATATCTACCCTCTGCCTAAGCAGCTCCACCCAGTCGGGGAGCTCAGCGGCGTCGCCAAACTCCGCACGCTAGGCGTCGCTCAGACGGGCGAAGCAGCGGGACTCTGCGTGACCAAACGTCCCGCAAGGCTGACCAGTCCGAGCACCAGTGCGAATGACGTACCGACAGCGAGTAGTACTCCGTGACCCTCCACGCTGAGCGTACCACTCACGAAGCTGCTGGGGCGAAAGGACCGCGCGCGGACTGCGCTGCAGCTGCACCTGGCCACTACAAGCAGCTCCCGAACTACTCACGCCAGAACGACTCTCACTACGGCCACCCCGACAACCCCAAGTAGCGTACCACTCACGAAGCTGCTGGGGCGTGAGGGACTCACGCGGACGGTGCTGGAGCTGCATCTGGCCACGCCAGGAGCAGCAGTAGCAGTAGAAAGAGCAGTAGTAGCAAGAGCAGCAGTAACAGCAGTAACAGCAGAGCTCACCAGTGGCAAGAAGGGCAGGAGTACGACAGCGGCAATGGTGAGGCCGCTACCACCGCAGGGCGAGGGCTCCGCGGCTGCTGCAGGGACTGCTGCTCGAGAGGCCAGGGGCGGCTGCTGCAGGGGCGGCTGCTCCAGGGGCCAGGGGCAGCTGCAGCAGCAGCGGCTGCTCCAGGGGCCAGGGTGCCGCGGCGGGCAGGGGCGGCGGCGGCTGACACAGCAGCGGCGGCGGCGGCTGCTGGTGTCGGCGGCGGCGGCGGCTGCTGCTGTCGGCGGCGGCGGCGGCGGCTGCTGCTGTCGGCGGCGGCGGCGGCTGCTGCTGTCAGTGGTGGCAGCGGCTGCTGCGGCCGGGGCAGGGGCGGCGGCGGCGGACACGGCAGCGGCGGCGGCGACTGCTGCCGTCGGCGGCGGCGGCGGCGGCAGCTGCTGTCGGCGGCGGCGGCGGCTGCTGCGGCCGGGGCAGGGGCGGCGGCGGCTGAGAAGGGGCCGCGGGGCCGCGAGGGGCCGTGAGAGGGGCCGCGAGGGGCCGCGAGGGGCCGCGAGGGGCCGTGAGAGGGGTCGCGAGGGGCCGCGAGGGGCCGTGAGATGGGTCGCGAGGGGCCGTGAGGGGCCGCGAGGGGCCGCAAGGGAGCCGCGACGGGGCCGCGAGGGGCCGTGGGAGGGGCCGCGAGGGGCCGCGAGGGAGCCGCGAAGGGGCCGCGAGGGGCCGTGAGAGGGGCCGCGAGGGAGCGGCTAAGGGGCCGCGAGGGGCCGTAAGAGGGCGCGACGGGCCGCTAAGGGCAGGGGACGCGACGGGAGGGCAGGCACACGGGGCGCGACTCGGGCAGGGGCGAAGCGCGCTCCGGGCAGGAAAAAAAAAAACGATTTTCGGTGGGCCCTAGGAAACGTTCCCACTAGGGAACCTGCTCTATACCATGTGAAAGAATGAGGAATGAATGCAGTAGGAAAGAGGTGGGTACAAGTAGGAAAACCTAAAAGTGTTGTACCCCATATTGTCTACCCCACTACAGCCTACACAGACTATAGCATATAGGTTTGACATAAATAACTGCTCCATCTGCTGCGTATACTGCGCCACACTCCCGTACTCTTTATGTCAGTGGATTTTCTGCCGCGCCATGTACGTCGAATTTACGAGTTCGAATCTTTCGATGAGGTATGCCCGAAACTGCGCCCACGTTCTCTCCCCGCGGACCACGTCACTGTAGTAGATCCATTCGAGTGCTGGGCCTCGCAGCAGTGTTGCTGCGAGCCGAATCCGTGCTGCATCGTATGTCGGGGTCGAACAGCCAATGGCCTCGAAGTAAATTTCGAGGGTCGCCACGAATCATCGAACGTCCGATCCCTTCGTGCGAGCTGCTTCGAGGTTCGGCGAAGGTGGTGCCACTAGTCCGTGAAATGTCAGTTTCGCCAATAGTTCTGCTTCTGTCGCTGCTGCGTTCGCTGCTGCAATTACTGCTGCGTGGCGGCTACCGAATGGTTCGTGAGAAGGGCTTCGATTTGCCGGATCGCCGCCTGCGTCTGCTACAGTGAAAATCGCACAAGGGCGATTCGCGTTTGAGACATTGTACGTTATATGTTGTTTCTGCGCATCACAAACACTTTGAGACACAAATGTCGACGCAGGAATGTACCCTAAGTGAAGCCTTCCGGAATGCTAAAATAACCATTGGTTTTTCCAGCAATTATCAATCAAGGTTACCGTAATTGACTTGGTGATACACCTTCGCAAGTTTTGCAAGTTCTAAGATTTCATAACTTTTTTGTGATTGGATGGCATGTGTGTTAGTTACTATGCTCAGTTATTGGGCACGTTTTAACATGAGCGAGCATTGAGCATTCTGCTCTGCTAAGCTACACAGTGTTGTAGTGAGAACACAGGGAGCAGTCTGAGAACAGAACTAAAATTCTGAACTCCGTCTGCTGAAGGGGGATGCTGGGTGGAGGGAAGGAGGGGGGCATTGACTTCATTGATTGGGATGAGAAGTGGGAGAGAGTAAGGAACAGTGAGAGGGAGAGAGGGAGAGAGGGAGAGAGAGAGGGAGAGAGGGAGAGAGGGAGAGAGAGAGAGAGAGAGAGAGAGAGAGAGAGAGAGAGAGAGAGAGAGAGAGAGAGAGAGAGAGAGAGAGAGAGAGAGAGAGAGCTGGCCGTGACACCATTGTTCCAGGACATTCTCATCAGCCTTCAGTTCATCCTTCTCCCTCACTCCACCTCTACTGACATGCAGTCAACGCCACCTCTCCACCATGTAACACAGCGTGCGTGCACCTTCCTTGAATGCGCACCCCCATCCACCATGTCTCATCCTCCCTCCTTTCTCTCCGCACCTCCACTCCTCGTGTACCCGACACCTCCCTCGCCCTCCCCCCCTGGCGCCTGTCTACCTGGGCGTCACCTCAGACTGCTCTGTGTGCGGCAGTGTGGGCGTGGCCAGCACACCCGAGTCATAGTACCCCGTCGCAAACCCTGCTGCGCCGGACGTCGCAGGCAGCCGTGCCACGGCGCCTGTACCTGGCGGGACAGCAGCAGCACGGGGCGAGAGAGGGGCTCGGGCGGAAGCATATGCAGTGGGCTGCACAGCAACAGGGGTGCCTGCAGCAGTTCCAGTGGCTCGAGCCCTTCCCTGCCGCCCTGCAGCCGCAGCAGCAGCAGCAGCAGCTGCCGCCGCGGCCTCTGCTTCTGTGGCATCATTCGTTGCCGAAGCAGACCTGTCTCCCATACCGAAGGCACCAGCGCTACTAACAGCAGCACGGGAACCGCCCTCAGAGGCGTACCCTGTGGCTTGCGCTGACTCCTGCACGCTGCTTCCTCCCCCTGTCCGCCCCGGTAAAGACGCCCCGCCCTCACCGCCCTCGCTTAAAGAGGGCAGAGGACGATGCACTCCTGAGCTACCACCGCCAACAACAGCAGCAACCGCAGCAGCCGCGCCTTCTGATGGCTGCACATCCGACCAGGCACTGTCCTCGTCACCCCTCTTCACCGCACTCCACTCCACACTCGCCTCATAGCTCTCCTCCGGAACGCTACTTGCCGCCATGGAAGTCTCGACCGCCGACTGCTCTCGTCCCTGCGCGCTCGCCGAGCTGTCCGCCTCACCGCTCTCCTCCAGCAGCCATGGCGCGCGCCACAGCTTCTCCGCCGCGAACCCCGACCCCTCCGACCCCTCGCCCTCCTCGCTCGCCTCCCCGCGCGACGCCGCCAGCGCCGCGCGCTCCTGCTGCACCACCTGCTCGCGCAGGTCCGCGAGCCAGCGCACGACGGCGGACATGTCGGGGCGCGCCTTGGAGGACGCGCGGATGCACTGCAGCGCGACCTGCAGCACCTTGAGCAGCACGGCGCGGTCGTAGTCGCCGCCCAGGTTGGGGTCCGCCACGCGCTCCACCATCTTCGCCTGCACCAGCGGACCCACCCACGCCGAGATGTGCACGGGCCCTGACTGCCACTCCGCGCCCTCCGAACCCGCCGGCGACCCGCCTCCCGCAACTCCACGTGAGTCGCTCCGGCGGCTCTCGGGGGTGCGACTGCCCTCCCCCGGCCCGCTGCCGCCCTCCAACTGGCCTGGCGGCGCGCCTGCGCTCCCCGCGGACCCCGCGCCGAGGGACATGAGGCTGGAGGGCGCGATGATGGCGCGCTGGCCCGTGAAGAGCACGAGCAGCAGCACGCCGAAGCTGTACACGTCGCCCTTGACCGTCACCTTGGCGGTGCAGTGGTACTCGGGGTCCAGGTACCCCGGCGTGCCCGCCACGCGCGTGTACAGCGACTCCATCTCGCCCGTCACCGCGCCCTCCTTGCCCTCGAGAATGAACTTGAGCAGCCCGAAGTCCGCGACCTTTGCGCGCATGCGCGCGTCCAGCAGGATGTTGTCGGGCTTGATGTCGCGGTGGATCACGGGCGGCACGGCCGCCGTGTGCAGGTACTGCAGCCCCTCCGCCGTGCCCAGCGCGATGTTCAGCCGCTCCTTGAACGTCAGGTACGGCGGGCCCTTGCGCGCGAGCGCGGTGGAGAGCGTGCCGGCCGGGACGTACTCGTAGACGAGGATGTGCTCCGCGTCCTCCACGCAGTACCCCAGCAGTCGCACCAGGTTCTTGTGCGACAGGCGCGAGATCGTCATCACCTCCTTCTCGAAGTCGCCCGCGCCCGAAGACCCCGGCGGCAGCGCCGTCTTGGACCGCTTCACGGCCCACTGCGCGCCCGACTGCCCCACGCCGCGGTAAACCGTCGCGAACGCGCCCTCGCCCAGGAAGTTGCCGCGGCTGAAGCCCCACGTGGCGGAGCGGATCTCGTGCAGCGAGTACTTGCGGAACAGCCCGTCCCGCAGGTCCTCCTCCCACTTCGCCAGCGGCTTCCCCGCCGCCGCCCTCGCCGCCACCCCAGCCGCCACGCCCGCGCCCGCGACCGCGACCGCGACTGCGCCTGGTGCCCCCACTCGCGGCGGTCCCCCAACCGGTGCCGCTGGCGGAAGAAGCTGGCGCGGGGGGGGCTGCGGTGAATACGGCAGCTGCGGTTGCAGGCCGGGTGAGCCCGCGGGAGGCAAGGCGGAACCGTTGCGGTGGTACGCTAGGGCGGGCTTGTGGTGTGGCGATGCTTGCGACGCGGAGACTCGACCCCGCGCCTCCTCGTCATTCGGGCGCCGCGGCTTCTTGGGGGCTCGATAGAGGCAGCAGCAGCAGTAAATCATTATAGCGAGGACGACGGCGACTATAGCGAGGATGCCGCATCCGATGCCGATGATGGCGATGAGTGGCAGTTCCCATGAGAACACCTGAACCATGTGCGCGCGATGCGCCGCGAGGTGCTACCAGGGAGTAGGGAGGACAGTTGGTGGAGAGAGCGGACGTGAGAATATGGCAGCGAGAGAGATTGAGTACAGAACGAGGTTGAGGAAGAGCAGTTATCAATTTGCCGGCAATGGCCTCGCGCCTTGTCGAGGAAGAAAGAACCCGACCAGCAGCGCTACGGGTGTATAGGGTAGAGCAGATGGGAAGACAATGTCACTCTAACGTGCAACTGAAGCCACTGGAGCGAACGGATTGATTCGCGGCAGCTGAATAAGCTCCATAGCGCCGTCCTGGAGGCGGCGATTGGCGCAGCTATGGCACAGGCGGGACGAGTGAGAGAAGACAAGGCGAATTGGTGAAAGCCAACGCGGTCAGGCCGATCCTTGGCTCGAGTATCACTTGGTGCTTCTAAATGATAGCAGCTACGGTCGACTCAATGAAGGAAACAGGTATGGCTGTCTTCTTTTGTGGCTACTAAAACAGTCGTTGAATGGATTTGACGTGGACCTGTCGAGGTGGAAGTGGGGGGGAAAGAAGCCAGAAAATGCATAAATGACGAGGGGATCATGGGAGGGATACGCGTCTTCTGGTTTTCACAAGGGAGTGGGCTGCGAACACAAGCAGACGGACGGGCAGGTTAGCCATCCGTGAGACTTCTTTCAAAGCGCGTTGTTGAACGGACCCAAGTGAATGCTCGGACTTTCCGGATAATCCCAACCGTCCACGTACTTGACTCTTACAGGCAGGTGACGCCTATCGGCCACTGCAGGGCAGGTAGATGACGGGGTCGGGCAAAGCTGTTGGGGGTGGCAGGTAACCTGTCACCCCCAACAGTTCGGTCAGATGGGCGAGGAATGTGATGCTCTTGTTCCCCAAGGTGCGGCGCGGGAGCAGCGAGGGAGAATGAGGGGAAGGGATGTGAAAGAAGCAAACTGGGAGACAGGTTGGGGACTGGCGAGAATCGGTCAAATAATTGTGGGGCTCTTTCCGTCGGTCGGAGGAAGTTGCAGCGAAGAAGGGTCCGAAAGCAACGATTGGCTGTACTATCGCGTCAACGATTCTTCGTTACACGGAGGCGGTTTATTATTGTTGTCATGTTTACCAATAATTTTAGAAATATATGTTTCCAAATATTAGACCCCCTCCGTGGTATGGTAAGGGTTTCAAGTTTAGCGTGGCCGTCCATAAAACTTTCCCGAGTCCTCATTCTGACGAGAATGTCTCCATTTGTGGCATTCCTTTTGGGCCCGCCTTTTTCCGTATGGAATTTCCAAATTTCATATTTTTTTCTAAATGTTTCAATACACTAAACTTACATTCTAAACATCACAATACCATGGTTGAATCCCAACTAGCCTTCTTATTGTCACCAGCAACAAAAACTTCATTTATAGCTGCAGCTTCGTCATCCTTCTCGTCGCTAGTCACATAAATTCAAATTAATCAATCTTACAATACCTCTGTTGGAATATATTTACCCATGTTTTCTATAACTGTATGCAGTGTAGACTGTAGTGTATGTCATCATTTTCTGTAGGTGGTATACCTCCTTTTCCTTGCCTCTATCCTTGTAATTTTTTTATCCTCATTGGCCAAACCCTGTCGATATCCATCTCGCCATGCTCCTAGCTCCTACTCGAAACTCCTACTCCAATCTCCTAACTAAGTTAATATCTTAACAACTTCCCACATGTGTCGACAAACATATATATATATATATGTTTGTATGCGTACTCTGTCTGAATGTTATGTTTGTCTAGCCTGCAGTGGGGTACTCAATAGTGAGTATAGCCCAATTTAGGGTTTGTGAGAATCTAGCTTGACTTAGGAGCCATAGCTAGGTTAGAGTGTCGAGAGAATTGAGTGTCGAGAGGAATGAAGTCACTAGCAAGAGTTGGGATACAAATACAACACCCTAAATTGGGTTGTACTCATTACAGAGTACCCCACTGCAGGCTAGACAGCAAATACATTCTGACACACCCCCATAGTCAAAGTGGGGTATAATCAGCAGAGCAAGCAGTCATAGAGCAGGTTCACAAGTACAAGCAAAGCTAGAGGCATACACAAAGGGCAAGTGAGGAGGAGGCTGGACTGTGAGAGGAGAGGAGATAGGAGGCGACTGCTGATGCTGCAGACACACGGGCAACAGGAGCGGCGCGCACTGTGGCTACCGGAGCAAGGGCCCCGGACTACAGGAGTAACTGGCTCTGCGGCTAACTCTGAGCGGCAGGAGCAACGGACCCACTGGCGACAGGCGCAACAGGCTCTCTGAGCTACCAGAAGCAGAGCCCCGGACTACAGGTGTTGCGGACGACAAGACGGTAGCCTCCGCTCAACCTCCCCCAACTGTCCCACCCCCCTTACACACACCCCTTGCTGCACCCCTAGCTCCACTCCCACGTCACCCCCCTAGCACCACTCCCTCGGCTCCCACACACCCACCCCCCTCAGCGGCAGCTGCAGCAGTGGGAGACAGAGGAGGAGGAGGAGCAGGGGACGGTTCACACACCCGCCACCCCCATACCCTCCCCCCACTGCTGCACCTGCAGCAGGGAATGGAGGAGAAAGGGGGGGGGGGGGGGCGGGGGGGGGGGGGGGGCTGTGCATGGCGCGTGCAGAGGGTAGCAGGGCGCACGGGGCGCACAGGGCAGCAGGGCGCACAGGGCAGCAGGGCAGCAGGGCGCGCGGGGCGCACAGGGCTGCAGGGCGCGCGGGGCGCACAGGGCAGCAGGGCAGCAGGGCGCACAGGGCTGCAGGGCAGCAGGGCGCGCGGGGCAAACAGGGCAGCAGGGCGCACAGGGCTGCAGGGCAGCAGGGCGCACAGGGCTGCAGGGCAGCAGGGCGCGCGGGGCGCGCAGGGCTGCAGTGCGCGCAGGGCGCGCAGGGCAGCAGGACAGCAGGGCGCGCAGGGCGCGCAGGGCTGCAGGGCGCGCGGGGCGCACAGGGCAGCAGCAAGGGCTGTAGCAGCAATAGCAAGGGCTGTAGCGGCAGCAGCAGGGAAGCAGGGCGCACAGGGCTGCAGGGCAGCAGGGGGCACAGGGCTGCAGGGCAGCAGGGCGCGCGGGGCGCGCAGGGCTGCAGTGCGCGCAGGGCGCGCAGGGCAGCAGGACAGCAGGGCGCGCAGGGCTGCAGGGCAGCACAGGGCTGCAGATCCCCTCCCCCCCACCGCTGCACCCGCAGCAGGGGGATGGAGGAGAAGTGGGGGGGGGGGGGGGGGCTGGGGGGGGGGGGGCTGATGCTGCAGCTCCCCGCCCCCCCACTGCTGCTGCAGATCCCCTCCCCCCCACTGCTGCGCCCGCAGCAATGGTGGAGGAGAAAAGGGGGGGGGGGCGGGGGGGGCTGGTGCTGCAGGTCCCCTCCCCCCACTGCCGCATCCGCAGCAGGGGGAGATAGGAGAAGGGGGGGGGGGGGGGGGGGCTGGTGCTGCAGATCCCCTCCCCCCCCACTGCTGCACCCGCAGCAGGGGGGGAGGTAGGAGAAGGGGGCGGTGCAGAAGCCGCTCGGGCGACAGCAGGTTGGCCACACCCGCCACCCCCATACCCTCCCCCCACTGCTGCACCCGCAGCAGAGAGATGGAGGAGAAGGGGGGGCGGGGGAGGCAGGTGCTGCAGGTCCCCTCCCCCCACTGCCGCATCCGCAGCAGGGGGATGGCAGATCCCTTCCCCCCCACTGCGGCACCCGTAGCAGGGGGAGGGAGGAGAAGTGGGGGGGGGGGGGGGGGGGCTGATGCTGCAACTCCCCGCCCCCCCACTGCTGCTGCAGATCCCCTTCCTCCCACTGCTGCACCCGCAGCAGGGGGATGGAGGAGAAAAAGGGGGGGGCGGGGGGGGGCTGGTGCTGCAGATCCCCTCCTGCCTCCCTCTGAACCTCCAAGCTCCCCCCCCCCTCCCAACACAGGGTGCGGCAAGGAGAGAGAGAGGAGAAAAGGGCGGGGGGGGGGGGGGGGGGGGGGGCTGATGCTGCAAATCCCCTCCCCCCACTGCTGCTGCAGATCCCCTCCCCCCCACTGCTGCGCCCGCAGCAATGGTGGAGGAGAAAAGGGGGGGGGGGGCGAGGGGGGCTGGTGCTGCAGATCCCCTCCTGCCTCCCTCTGAACCTCCAAGCTCCCCCCTCCCTCCCAACACAGGGTGCGGCAGGGAGAGAGAGAGAAGAAAAGGGCGGGGGGGGGGGGGGGGGGGGGGGCTGATGCTGCAAATCCCCTCCCCCCACTGCTGCTGCAAATCCCCTCCCCCCACTGCTGCTGCAGATCCCCTCCCCCCCACTGCTGCTCCCGCAGCAGGGGTGGAGGAGAAAGGGGGGGGGGGGGGGGCGGGGGGGGGCTGGTGCTGCAGATCCCCTCCCCCCACTGCTGTTCCACAATCCTTCACCCCCCAGGGATGGAGGAGAAAGGGGGGGGCGAGGGGGGCTGGTGCTGCAGATCCCCTCCTGCCTCCCCCTGAACCTCCAAGCTCCCCCCCCTTCCCAACACAAGGTGCGGCAGGGAGAGAGAGAGGAGGAGGCGTGGCGGCAGCTGCTGCTACTGCTGAGGCACATCCGCCACCCCCTCACACCCTCCCCCCCCCGTCCCCATGGAGGGGGGGGAGGGGGGGGAGGGGGGGGGAGGGGGGCGGGGGCGGAGCTGCGCGTGCGACTGCAGGGCACGCGGGCAGGAAGAACCCCCTCTTGCCACCCCCTTACCCTTCATGATGCGACAGGGCACCGGGGCCGCGGCTAGGGGCGACAGGTCGCGAGGGGCCGAGGCTAGAGGCGACGGGGCCGCAGTTAGGGGCGGCAGGTCGCGAGGGGCCATAGCTAGGGGCGACGGGGTGACGGGTCGACGAGGGCCGCGGTTAGGGGTGATGGAGCCAAGGGGCCGAGGCGACGGGGCCTAGGGTCGCGAGGGGCCGCAGTTTGGGGGCGACGGGGCCTGGGGGGCGCGGCTAGGGGCGACGGGGCACCGGGGCCGAGGCGACGGGGCCTAGGGTCGCGAGGGGCCGCAGCTGGGGGCGACGGGGCCTAGGGGCCTCAGCGACAGGTCGACGGGCCTAGGGTCGCGAGGGGCCGCAGTTGGGGGCGACGGGGCCTAGGGGCCGCGGCTAGGGGCGACGGGGCCAAGGGGCCGAGGGGCTCCAGCTAGGGGCGACTGGCGAAGCCAAGGGGCGACGGACGACGGGCTAGGGGCGACGCCAAGGGGCGACGGGCCTAGGGGTGTCGAGCGCGAGCGACGGGCCACGGGGCCGGGGCCTAGGGGCGACGGGCCGAGGGGCGTCGGGCCAAGGGGCTACGGGCGCGAGCGACGGGCCACGGGGCCGTGCCGAACGTCGAGAGTAGGGCCGCACGAGGGCGGCGCGCAGGGCAGTAGGTGGTGGGCCCAAGGGTCGAAAACTGCTCTAATACCATGTGAGAATCTAGCTTGACTTAGGAGCCATAGCTAGGTTAGAGTGTCGAGAGAATTGAGTGTCGAGAGGAATGAAGTCACTAGCAAGAGTTGGGATACAAATACAACACCCTAAATTGGGTTGTACTCACTACTGAGTACCCCACTGCAGGCTAGACATCAAATACATTCTGACACGGTTTGCTATATGTAATCAACTGCTTGCTAGTGCAACTCTCTCTCTTTCTTGATTCTGATTTCTGCCTAGCCTTTCGACATGCTATCAGAGCAGGTCGACCCTCCTGGGTCGATCCTGTGGGTGGTCCCGCCCTATGCTTCCGCTGCTGTCTTGTCTGTCGCGCGCCCCGTGGCGCGCGACGTTTTTTCTTCCCGCCACGCGTTCGGGGCGCATGGCGGTTTTCTGCTCGCCGCGCGCTCCGAACGCGCGGCGGTTTTCTGCCTGCCGTGCGCCCCGAGGCGCGCGGCGGTTTCCCACCGTCGCGTCACCCCGGGGGCCCGCGCGCGGCTCCCCGTCGCCCTCCATGGCGGCCCCGTCGACCGCGCGCGGTCCCCCCGTCGTCCGTCGTGGCGCCCCAAGGGACCCGCGCGCGGCCCCCCGTCACCCGCCGTGGCGCCCCTGTCGACCCGCGCGTCGCCCCCGGGGACCCGCGCGCCCGTCCCCGTCGACCCGCGCGCCCCTCCCGTGGACCCGCGCGCCGCCCCCGGGGACCTCCGCGCCCGCCCCCGCGCGCCGCGTCTGTCGCCAGCGTGGCCACCTGCGTGGCCACCTGCGTGGCAACCTGCGTGGCCCACTGCTGCTTAGCGCGCTGCTTTAGGAGCTCGCGTGCGGCCGCTCCTGTCTGCTGTCTGCTGGCTCCTGCCCCGTGCTGCCTGTGTTAGGGTTTGGGGGTGGATGGTATGGGGGTGCCGGGTGTGTGAGCCGTCCCCTGCTCCTCCTCCTCCTCCTCCGTCTCCCACTGCTGCAGCTGCCGCTGAGGGGGGTGGATGTGTTGGAGCCGTCGGAGTGGTACGAGGGGGGGTGGCGTGTGAGCAGTGCTAGAGGTGCAGCAGGGAGTGTGTGATAGGAGTGTGGGACAATTGGGGGAGTTTGACCGGAGGTAGCCGACTTGTCGTCCGCAGCGCCTGAAGTCCAGGGAGCCACGACCCCCTGTGGCCTGAGTAGTCCGGAGCTCTGCGCCCGGTAGCCACAGTGTGAGCACTCCTGGTAGTCCAGAGAGCCACGACCCCCTGTGGCCTGAGTAGTCCGGGGCTCTGCGCCCGGTAGCTACAGTGTGAGCACTCCTGGGAGCACAGTGAGCCAGCTGCGTCTGTCGCCGTGTAGTCCGGGTTTAGCCTGGTAGAGACAGTGCTGCGCACTCCTACTGCCCGTGTGTCTGCAGCTTCAGCCGTCGCCTCCCATCTTCTCGCCCCCACAGTTTCTCCTCCTCCTCACTTGCCCTCTGTGATAGCCTCTAGCTTTGCTTTTAATTGTGAACTACTGTTTTGCTTGCTTGTTGTGCTGATTACACCCCACTTTGGCTATGGGGGTGTGTCAGAATGTTATGTTTGTCTAGCCTGCAGTGGGGTACTCAATAGTGAGTACAGCCCAATTTAGGGTTTGCTAAATGTACTCAACTGCTTGCTAGTGCAACTCTCTCTCTTTCTTGATTCTGATTTCTGCCTAGCCTTTCGACATACTCCATGTGCTTACTGGTATTGCGAACAGGCTCGCAAATTCGTTTTTGGCCTGTCTGATTCGTCAGACTTAGTACACAACCTTAGTCTGATCACACAGAGTTGGTACAAAAAAAGGCTGAAATTTCAGGGATTAAAAAAAAAAGAAGTATGAACATTTCAGAGTCAGCAACAGTGAAAGTCTGATGGATATTTTCGGTGTGTGTTCTGTTGGCCTTTGTTGAACTTGCACAACATTAGTATGGCCTATATACTTACTACTGCTTAATATTCACGGTTATGACTACGTACCTATATACTATCTAAGATTTCCTAATCCTACCTACTCATCAAATCCATCATCATCACTGCCAGAGTCATCCTTCTCATCTCCTAAGTCTATCTCTTCATATGCCTCCTTGCCCTTCTTGCTCTATTGCTTTCCTGCAGGCGGGAGTTGTGAGGATCGATAGGATCGAGTTCAAAAAAAGAGGAATGTATTGAATGATCCACCTGGGTACAACACGAGGCGTTATTTAGTCTCGACACAAGGCCAGTAACCCAGTGTCAAATGTTGTAGCCTATAGTGAGGTTTATCTTAGGGGGTACAGAAGTTAGGGTTTGTCATATGTACCCCAACTCACATCAATGAGATCATCACTTCCTTTCTTGACATGGTATCACCTAGGTTCGGATCCTGTGGGATCCCGCTCCTCCCGACCTCGTTCGTTTCGCCTGAGCCAGTCTCACTCTGTCGTACTAGTTGTGCACGTCTTGCCCGAGCCTAGCGCCGGCCCGCTCTAGTCGCGTTCGTTCGTTACCACTCGTTCCGCCGATCCACTGCTCTCACAGCGTAGCGACCTTCTCCCCCCCCCCTCCCCCCTGCTGCCCATCGCGTTTCCCCCACCCTGCTGCCCGTCGAGTCGCGTTTTTCCCCCCCGTTGCCCGTCGGGTCGCGTTTTTTCCCCGCGCTCCCCGTCGAGTCGCGTTTTCCCCCCCGCTGCCCGTCGAATCGCGCCTTCCCCGGCCCTCGTCGCGTCGTGCTCTCCCCGCCCGTCGTCCCGTCGTGCCCTCCCCCGCTACTCGTCGCGACGCGCCCTCCCCCCGCTGCCCTAAACGCCCGTCGCGTCGCGCCTGCCCACCGTCGCGTCCCTACCCCCGCCCTACGCGCCCGCCGCGTCGTCCCTACGCCCGCGCGCCCGCTGCGCCTGCGCCTCCCCGCGCCCTACGCCCTGCGCCCGTCGCCTCCCTACGCTCTGCGCCCTGCGCCCGCGCCTCCTCGCGCCCTGCGCCGGTTACCTCCCCGCGCCCTGCACCCTGCGCCCGCGCCTCCCCGCGCCCTGCGCCTGAGTGCTCGCTGCGCCCGTTTCTACGCACGCCCGCCCTTCGCCCGCTGTGCTGTCTTGTCTCTTTCTGCTCGCGTGCTTGCTTGCTCGCGCTGCCACGTCTGCTCGTTTTCTCCGCCGCTGCGCCTGCTTGTTAGGCCTGCTGCGAGCCCTCCCTCTGCTCTACTACGCGTCCTGTCGCTCGTACTTCCACTATGGCGACTCCTAGAGTTCTTCGTTTTGACGCTGACGATCGACCCCTCGAGTTCTCGGTCTAGCTCCTGCGCGCGCGTCGCCTTTTAGAGAGTCAGGTCTAGGCGGGTGAGTCCCTCTGGGCGCACGCTACTGGTGACCTTCCTGCGCCCGACGACCCTACGCCTTTAGGCTCTGCCCCTGACGACGCTGCTAGAGCCCGCTTTGCCAGCCAGCGTGCTGACCTCACGGCGTGGAAGTCGCGTGATGCTGCGGCCTGCATCGCTCTTAGCAGCCTCCTCCCTGAGTCTGAGGAGGCCCACTTCACTCAGGTTTGCACAGCTAGTGAGTTTAAGGCCCGCTATGCTACTCCCACCACTGTCTCTCTTGGCCGACTCTTCCTACCGTTCCTGTTCCCTGACCTCGCCTCGTTTGAGCGCTCTGCTGACTTGATTGCTCACCTACGCTCGCTTGATTCTAGCTACCGCGCTGCCTGCACTGACGCACAGCTTGCACTGCTCCCTCCCCCCATGGCGATTACTATCTACTTCATCGCCACTAGCCTCCCTGACCGCGTTGTCTCAGTCCGTGACACGCTCCTTCTGAAGCAACTTAGTGAGCTCACTATCGAGGTCCTTGAGTCTGCGCGCAAGGACGTCGAGAGCAACCTCCGCTCCGTAGCCTCCGCCTCTGGTGCTGTGCCCCCTCCACTGTTCCACGGGTGCACTGTCCCTCAGCTGCCCACCTTTACAGCCTCTCTCGCCACTGCTGCTACTGACGTGACCGCAGCTGCTGTTACGACTTCTTCGCGGTCTCGAGGTAGAGGTGGCAAGCGGGGCGGTCAGGGTACAGGTTGCGGCGGCAGTGGAGGCGTTGGCGGCGGCGGTGGAGGCGTTGGCGGCGGAGGTGGCAGGGGTGGCGTGCCGACTGGTGGCGGCGGGAGTGCAGGGCCTGGAGAGGCGTCTCGTGCAGCGGCCGGTGACCCCGCTACTGCAGCTGGTGGAGGCGACGCCCGGGCTCGTCAGCCACCTTCTGGTCCACCGGCCGCGGTGGGTGGAGCAGCGGTGTGGTACCTGGCCCAGCGGCAGCAGCAGCAGCCCCTCCCCTCGCAGCAGCAGGTTTCGGGGCCAGGACAGCGTCAGCCTCAGCGAGGTGTTGTTCACCCTTCGTGCACCTATCAGCTTTTGACAGGTGCTCGCCGAGGCCAGCCTTGTGGTCGCACCCACCCTCCTGGTCAGTGCTTTGCTCAGCTCACTGACACGGTTCGCTTGGCCTACGGCGTTGGAGGCCCTACCCCTGACTGGTTTCCTATTGTTCAGACGTACGGCCCTGCCCTTTGGGGCATGTCAGCTTCTCAGTTGCTTGATCTCTTAGGAACTCCTCATGCTATGTATGCTGTTGTTGACTCTAGTGCTTCTGCCTCTGTTTACTCGAGTGTTGCTAGCTTAGGTGCTTGTCTTGCTGAGATGCCTCTTGCTAGTGTAGGCACTTGTGTAGACACTAGTCCAGGAGCTCGTTCGGAGGACGCTTCGCTGTCTTTCACTTTGGACTCTGGGGCTTCGCACTGCTTCTTCAGGGACCACACGACACTTACTCCGCTTCCTGCGCTAGTCTCTGTGGCACTGGCTGATCCCACCTCGGGACCAGTCACTGCTCGCTACACTACTACTCTTCCGTGCCCTGCTGTTCCCTCTGGGTCTCTGACTGGCTTCCATGTCCCCTCGTTCTCAAGGAACTTGGTGGGCGTGAGGCCTCTTGTGAGTCAGCACGTGGGTGTGTGGATTGAGCCCTCTGGTGAGACGGTGGTTTGTGTTGACGGCGACACTTACGCGCCTCTTGCCACCTTTACAGCGGAGCCGGGCTCAGGTCTCTACACACTTCACACTGACCCTGGTGTGCAGCAGCAGCAGCAGCAGCGACTCCTGTCCCTGGCCCCGGTTACTTCCCCAAGTCTGGTCACTGCGTCTCACCAGGTTGCGCGTCCCCCCAGGTAGCTGTGTCTGGTCAGGTTCCCGTGTCTGGTCCAGTTGCTGCGCTCCTGCCGGTCGCTTGCACACCCCACCGTTCTATGGCACCACCGGACGGGGCACCCGTCCCTCCCTCGTCTGCGCGCTATGTCTCGTCAGCGTCGTCTTAGGCCTCCCGCGTGTCTTGCCGTCGCTGCCGCCTTCGCTTGCACCGCCGTGCGGTCCTTGCGTCGAGGGTCGGCTGCGCGCCACCCCTCACTCCTCCTCCCTTCGTCCGGGCACCGAGCCTTTTGAGACGCTCCACTTGGACGTCTGGGGCCCCGCCCCTCGCCTTGGTCCTGAGCGCGAGCGTTTCTTTTTGGTGGTCGTTGACGACTACTCCCGCTACACCACAGTGTTCCCCCTGGCGAACAAGTCTGAGGTGACTTCTACGCTGGTCGCTGCCGCCTTCGCTTGCACCGCCGTGCGGTCCCTACATCGAGGGTCGGCTGCGCCCCACCCCTCACTCCTCCTCCCTTCGTCCGGCCACCGAGCTTTTTGAGACGCTCCACTTGGACGTCTGGGGCCCCGCCCCTCGCCTTGGCCCTGAGCGCGAGCGTTTCTTTTTGGTGGTCGTTGACGACTACTCCCGCTACACCACAGTGTTCCCCCTGGCGAAGAAGTCTGAGGTGACTTCTACGCTGATCAGGTGGTTGCTTACCACTGAGGGCACTCGTGGTCGTCGTGTCAGCTGTCTTCACTCTAACCGTGGGGGTGAGTTTCGCTCCGGCATTCTCGCTGGATTCTGTCGCGAGCAGGGCATTTGTCAGTCCTGGACGCTTCCAGAGTCCCCACAGCAGAATGGGGTTGCTGAGCGCCGCATAGGCTTGGTCATGGAGATCGCCCGCACCTCCTTGACTCACGCCCGTGCCCCCCATTTTCTGTGGCCCTACGCGGTTAGGTATGCCGCTCACTAGCTGAACCTCTGGCCACGCATCTCTCGGCCAGAGACTTCACCGACCAGTCTTTGGACCGGGTCCCCTGGTGTTGCGTCGAGGTTTCGTGTCTGGGGTTGCTTGGCTCTTGTCCGCGACACTTCCGCGGACAAGCTCTCGCCTCGCGTCGTTCCCTGTGTCTTCCTTGGTTTCCCTGAGGACTTTTCTGACTTCACCTTTTACCACCCTCCCTCTCACCGGTTCTTTGACTCCCGTGACGTCCGTTTCGAGGAGTCCACCCCCTACTACGTCAGGTACCCCAGTCGAGGTCTCCCGGTTCCTCCTCCCCCTCTCTTCCTGACTTCCGCTCCCCCTCCTGCTCCCCCGGTACAGCCTCCCCCCCCATGGTCCAGCCCCGTTAGGTGTAACCTGCGCGGAAGGAGCCCAGGTTACCCCTCCCCCCTCGGTAGCCCCTCAGGTGCAGCCTCCTTCCGCGCAGTCCTCCTCGCAGCCTGCTGCGGACCCTGTGGGAGCAGGTGCTCGTGGAGAGGGCCCTACAGGTGCTAGCTCTGGGGGTGCTGGAGTTGGAGCTGAGCCCGTGGTTGTAGGGGACTCTTGTCTTCCGGGAGCTGGTGCTGGTCCTGCTGACTTTGGGGGTGCTACGTCTGGGGGTGCGGGTGCACCCTCTTCGGGTCCTGGTGAGCCTGGTCGTGTTGCTGTTGGTGGTGCTGACTCTGGGGGTGGTTTGCCAGGTGGTTTGGAGGGCGGTCCCGGGGCTGCCACAGCCCCCGACACTACTCCTCCCCCCCACCCCTACCCGACCCGGCACCAGGCTCGTGTTCGCCGTGCCCGTGAGGAGCAGCTGGAGTTGGAGAGAGAGGAGAGAGAGTTGCAGCAGCTGGAGGAGCAGCAGCAGCAGTAGGAGCAGCTGTAGCAGCTGCAGCTGGAGCCGCCGCAGCAGCAGGAGGCGCAGGAGCTGGAGCCGCTACAGCAGCAGGAGGAGCAGCAGCAGCTGCCGCCGCAGCAGCAGCAGCCGCCGCCGCCGCCGCAGCAGCAGCAGTAGCCGCCGCCTCCTCCTCCTGTCTCCGTTCTCCGGGCCCTCGGTCTCCCCTCCTGCTCTCCTTCCTCCTCCCCCTCTCCTCCCATCTCGGGTCCTCCGCTTCCTCCTCCTGACCCCTCTCCAGCTGTTTTCCCTCGTTCTCAGTCTTCGTTGTCCCCTCCTCCTTCTCAGACTTGGGCCTCTCGTCGCTCCCCTCGTGCTCGTCCCTCGTCCCCTATTCCCTTCACTGACCTTCATACTGCCTTACTTCGTTCTAGTCCGCCTCGTCCGTCTCCGTCTGTGCTTCCGTCTCCTCCTGAGTCGTCCCTCACTGCTTCGCTTTCTACTCCTGTCACTGACTACTACCGCATGTACCGTCCTGTTCTCTCTCGTGTTCTCGCCTCTCTTGTTACCCACCCTCGTGCCTCTGTGTCCTCTGTCTCCCCTCTTACTGCCGCAGTCACTGAGTTTGCCTCTACTCGCCGCCTTGACTTCGCCACCAGTCTTGTGGCTGCTCCTCCTTCCAGTCCTCTGGCCGTCGGGGGTGTGTCTGCCCTTTGGTGTGACGCCCTAGAGGACAGGCAGTTTGAGCTAGAGTTCCTAGCACTCGCTTCCTGTGCCATGCTGCTCGCCCCTGAGGGAGACCCCGACGCCCTTGACATACCGACTCCTCGCACTTACGCTGAGGCAGTGTCAGGGCCTTGGGCCTCTCAGTGGAGAGCTGCCATGGACGCAGAGATGGCCTCCTACAGATCCACAGGCACCTACGTCGACGAGGTTCCCCCTCCTGGGGCGAACGTAGTCGATGGCATGTGGATCTACAGGGTGAAGCGGCCACCGGGATCTCCTCTGGTCTTCAAGGCATGCTACGTGGCTAGAGGTTTCAGTCAGCGCGAGGGAGTTGACTTCTTTCAGACCTTCGCGCCCACCCCGAAGATGACCACTCTTCGGGTGTTACTGCACGTAGCGGCATAGAGAGACTACGAGTTACACTCTCTCCACTTCTCCACTGCGTTTCTTCACGGTAGCCTACACGAGGAGGTCTGGCTGCATCGTCCCTCTGCCTTCACTGGCACTTTCCCTCCTGGGACCCAGTGGAGGCTGAGGCGACCGGTCTACGGTCTCCGTCAGGCTCCTCGTGAGTGGCACGACACCCTTCGTTCTACTCTCGTTGACCTTGGTTTTGAGCCGTCGTCTGCCGACCCGTCGCTGTTCGTTCGTCGTGGCTCCACACCGTTCTTTGTTCTAGTCTACGTCGACGACCTGGTTTTCGCCACTGCTGACAGGGTTGCCTTGGCAGACGTGAAGTCCGAACTACAGAAGAGACACACGTGCACTGACCTTGGTGAGCTGCGTCACTACCTTGGCCTGCAGATCACCAGGGACAGAGCTGCTCGCACCATTATACTCTCACAGTCACACATGGTGCAGCAGGTCCTTTAGCGGTTCGAGCTTCAGCACTCCACAGTACAGCGCACACCTCTTGTTGTTGACCACAGACTCACAGGACCCTTTCCTGACAAGCCGTTTGAGTCCAGTGGTCCCTACGCAGAGCTAGTGGGCTGCCTCATGTACCTGATGACTTGTACTCGCCCGGACCTCGCCTTCCCTCTCAGCGTCCTTGCTCGCTTTGTTGCGCCAGGGAGGCACCATCCTGTTCACTGGACGGCAGCTGTGAGGGTGGCGAAGTACCTAGCGACGACATCAGGCGTGGGGCTAGTTCTTGGAGGGCAGCAGCCTGTCGTACTTACTGGTCACTGTGACTCTTCTTACGCTGACGACGCTGAGACTCACAGGTCTACTCAGGGGTACTGTTTCACCTTGGGTTCTGGAGCTGTTTCCTGGCGGTCCACGCGCTCCTCTTCGGTCTCGACCTCTACAGCTGAGGCTGAGATCTACGTTGGTGCCATGGCGGCACAGGAGCTGCGTTGGTTGACGTTTTTGCTCGCTGACCTTGGTGAGCGGCCGAGGTCTGCACCGACCTTGTTCACTGACAACAAGGCATCGATTCTCCTCTATCGTGAGCCGCGACTGGAGAGCAGAGTGAAGCACATTCACGTCAGGTACTTCCTTCTGCGATAGTTGCAGAGACGTGGACAGGCTCGCTTCGAGTTTGTGGAGTCCGAGGCCAACACTGCAGACATCTTCACCAAGGCGCTTCCGCGTTGTGACCACCAGAGGTGTTGTGTGCAGTTAGGCCTTGTTGACACAGGTTCTAGTCGTGTATAGGCTTGAGTTTACTGTTTGCTTTGCTTGTACTCTTGCTGTACGCACTTGTGAACTCTTGGACTGGCCTTGTGGCCACTGTTGCTTGTGCTCAGAGTGTGTGGTGACGTTGTGATCCACCCTGAGCTTTGTTTCTTTGTGACTGGTCTTGTGACCGTACACTTTTAGTTTTGCTAGACACCCCTCACTTAGGCTATGGGGGTGTGTCAAATGTTGTAGCCTATAGTGAGGTTTGTCTTAGGGGGTACAGAAGTTAGGGTTTGTCATATGTACCCCAACTCACATCAATGAGATCATCACTTCCTTTCTTGAGACCCAGGTGTTACGCGAATGTTCTGAGGGTTGCGAAGCGTGTCAGTAGATCTGCACTGTGGATGCCCGATTGACCCTGGAGAGGGTTACAGGCGCGTTTGCCTGGGGGGTTATGGGCGCACTGACCCGCTACTGAAACAAGCCCTTTTATCCCAATGGTCTAGTGGTTGGGATTCTGACATGGTATCAGAGCGGTCTCGGGTTCGATTCCCGGTGTATGCACATGTAGGCCGTTGCCGCTGTGATTAGTCCTGGGCCTCTGGGCCTCCCAGTGTGGGGGGGTGTCAGTAGATCTGCACTGTGGATGCCCGATTGATCCTGGAGAGGGTTACAGGCGCGTTCGCCTGGGGGGTTATGGGCGCACTGACCCGCTACTGAAACAAGCCCTTTTATCCCAATGGTCTAGTGGTTGGGATTCTGACAAAGCGACCTGAACAGAACCTTCCCGAATTCGGTAGAAGGCAATTCGGTGGCAATTGAAAGGCCTAAAATCCGGAACAAGAAAAAATAAACATGGTTCGGTGCTATAACTATAATACAATATAGGAAAGCACCTAACCTAGGAAATCAAGCATAAGCATGCATGAAAAAATAAACCAAAGCTAGAAATAGCATAATAAAGGCAAGGCAAGCTACCAAAGCAAGCATAAGCCGTCGTACTCTCACAGGAGTGGAGCATGGCTATGGGGCTTACGCTTCTTGTAGCTCCTCCAGATGGTTACGATCTCCTCCCACTTGGGCTCGTAATCCATGAGACTCAAGCACATGAGGTCTCGAAGGCATGCATCCTTCAGGGCGCCTCTCTGCCACGTCTTTATGATGTTCTGCCTACTGAACCCACACTCACACTCCACGATTCCATGCGGGAGAACAGCTACCGCCACCCACAAGAGCACAAGGTTGGGGTAGTTGTCCCGCCAATCGGGTGTCTTGAGCATTGTAGTGAGCCTTGCGTGGAAGCCGCACTCATTCTTGTTGGATGCTGCAAGCACCAAGGTGAACATGCGCAGCTCCTTCACCGCACGTCGCTTGTTATTTCCTGTCGGGGTAGGAAAAGGGATAACAAAAGAACGTACGTTGAAGAGCCGCATCAGATACAAGCAGAGACATGAACGTACATCGAAGCACCATATAGAAAGCATACACACAATTGGGCTTACATGGCAAGATCTCCTCTGTCAGGTCAGCCTTGAACAGAGTCACAAGCAACTCTAGCCACTCAAGGCAACGGCGGTTCCTCTCTCCTCGATTCAGTGGGTACTTATCGGGGGTAAAGCTTCGCCCCAGACATCCCGTCCAGGTCGCCAAGCCGATGCAGCAGTTGGTGGAGGATCAGCTCAGCAAACTCCGTCCAGACGTCCACGCAGCCATCATGGGTCCCGGGCCCATTGAAATCCTCCAGCTTGTCCTCATGTAGCCTGAAGGTAAAGCGTGCAAGTCGGCCGTCCGAGTCAACGCCACGTCAGCTACCTCCCGATTTCCTCCTAGCCCATGGCGCGCGATGAAAGGGGACAGCAACTCGCTGACGCCGCCACCGAAGTCGTCGCCGCAATCGACGTAGCAGCTCTCAATGTGGGACGTTGTGCCCTTGATCTGCGCATGCAGTTAGTGACTGCTGAAGGTAAGCATGCAGGAATCTGGCACCCAGATTTTGAAAGCTCATCTCTTTGTGCTGAAAGGCCCTGTTCAGGATGTTGAGCTGCTCACGCACATCAGCAATGAAGAACAGGAGGAAGTGAAACCTGTAGCTTGTCACGAGCGCGTACAGCTTCGCGTCCCACTCTTTCAACATCACGATAAGAGCTGGAAGCACGTCGACTAGCCTGAGCACTGCGTCGCCCCGCGAAAGCCAACGGACGGCATGAATCCTTGCAGCTTTAGTGAGGTGGATGTGAAAACTTTCTGGAGGCCCATGAAGCGCTGGTGCCATGGCCTCGACCGGCTGAGATGCTCTGACACGGTACGAATCACCATGACAATAATGTTGAAGGCGGGAATCTTCTCGGCGGCTAATTTAGTTGCCAGTGCCTCCCTGTACAACAAGGCGCAAACATTGGTTAGTTAAGAATGCCAACAATTGGAAAAAATGCACGGCAGGATTATGCACAAACAATAAAATGCCTGTGCGCGATGCAGTGCGAAGACACCAAATGGGGGATGCGCAGGTGGAGGCGTGTCGTGAGGCCAGCCTTGCTGCCCATCATGACGTTCGCTCCGTCGGTACTGATGCCTACAATGAGCTGAAGGTCGATCCCGACTGCCTACAGGTTTAACAAAAGAACGCTCAGAAGAGAAGCTGCGTCAGCCTTCTCCTCGGTGATTCGTGCCATGAACTCCTTGACGAGCTTGTACTTGCGGATGAAGGTGATGAAGGGGATCAGGTGCTTCCCGCTGCACCTATCCATGCTCTAGTCGATCGAGATGCCGACGAAGGGCAACGCCAGCACATCTTCCAGCTGGGTTGTCTGGAGCCATGTCGCAGTCGCTTGCGTCAGCTCATCAAAGCCGTATCTGCACATGAAAACAATAGTCAGTAACATATCAAGGAGGATAATTTTGAAACACCGATGTATAATAAAAGCGTATGGCAGTTACACTCCCGTGGTGTAGTAGGTGCCGTACCCCTTCTTCGTATAGCCCAGCATGCCTTTCTCCGCTAGGTACCACACCAGTTTCACCCACATCCCAATGGGTGCGTCGGACATGCTGATAAACAGAAACGAGTCGAGAAGGGCGACGACGCGCAGCTTCACACCGTCAACCGTGGCGCGATGTTGGTTGATCAGCGGCTGCCTCGCCCTGCACTCCTACTGAGATGTGAATCTCGCCATCGCGAGCTTGTGCTTCGCCGTGCCAGACGTGCTTACAAAATGATTGTGTCAGCAAGTCGGTGGCGCCTTTCCCGCGCCTTCCGCACTTGCCTGCATCGCTAGCATAAGCTGCACAAACAGTACACTTGAACGCATGCAACCCCGAGGTGGTTTTAGAGATCTGAAGCCAGGGAAAACATGCAAACGACTGACTCTTGAACTTGTCAATCGCATCGTCGTAGACTTCTTCGTTCAGCTGCGCCAGGTTGATGTTGAGGCGAGGACACGATCGCTCAGAGGAGCCGGGAGGCTTG